ACGAATAACGAGCGACGGCTAAAATCTCTTGATAGTCACTCAGGGTCATGACCTTGACAACATATATGAAGGTCAAGGTCATTGGGGCTGGGTCCGTTGTTATCAATATTTACCGTCATTTCTTTTTAGTTGTTTTCGACGCGAACGAGTAATTGTTTACGTTCGCGCTGTTACCGGAATCTTTCTGTGTCCTTCGTGCTGTCGCTTAGCTGCGTGCCATTAGAGTTCGGTAATTATTATTTCACGTGTTGTTTTCGTGACGCGGTTAGAGTTTTGCGCGGTAATTCCGACCACGTGTGAGGAGTGACCTTGGGAAGGGGGGAGAGTCCTCGGCGTGCGCGTGTACTGACGCGTGGTCGCAAGTCCCCTGAATTTTTTTTGCTTTGGCTCTTTTTCGGTTTCCGCCAACGACATCATGTCGGAAGGGCGATCGCGATTTAGTTGGATTTATAGGTTGCCGGTAGATCAGGCGCGAGAGGAATTGACGCTACGGGAGCTAAGTCTTGAGGGGGATTTACACGAGATGCGACACCGACTTTTGTGGTACGAATTAGAGAGGCCGTCGGAACCGAGCGGAGCCGTCGGGAACGCACCCTTGTTGCTACCCCCGGCGGAGCTGGAAATCATCCGACCCGATAGTCCCGGCTAAGCGATGGCCGATTTTGACGCGATCCCCGGTGATATATTGCGGCTCCGCGAGATCCCCGTGCGCGCGACAACACCGTTATTCCCTCGGGGAGACGGGTGTCTGCCGTCTCCCCCGCGTGACGGGTACCGTACCCCGCTTCAGTCGCAGGACGGGCCCGGCGCGGCCGGACCTCCGCGCACCCCCGTCTCAGAAGTTTTTTAACATGCTGCGAAAATGGAATTTGACGTTTTCGGGCGCTCGCGGAAGCGGGGCGGACTCGTTCTTTATCCGATTAGAGGAGGGACGCGCTTTATACGCGGTTGAGGATGCCGATCTTTTCCGTTGCTTGCCTTTCTTTTTAACGGACACCGCATTATACTGGTTTCGGAATCGGCGCGCCGAGTGGCAAAATTGGGACGATTTCGCGGCGGCGTGGCGTAGTCGCTTTAGTAATTCGGATTATCAGTACGCCCTGCGCGATGAAATACTGCGTCGAACGCAGGGAGAAGACGAGACGATTTTCGATTATATAACGTGCATGCAATCGTTGTTCGATCGCCAGAGTCCCCCGTGGGAGGCGCAGTTGGATCACGTATATCGTAGCTTGCTGCCGCGGATACAAGGATCCATACGACGACACGAGTTTCAAAGTTTCGCTTCTCTCGAGTTGATAGCGTCGCGTTTAGAGATTGTACAGAACGCCGCGACGCGATATCGCGCACCGCCGCCGCCGGAAAAGTCCATACATCCGGAATTAGCGTACAAGCCCAAGAAAACCGCGCGTACGATCGCGATAGTTACCGCGGGGTTGGAGGCGCCCGCGAGTGCAGGAGGCCATAGGGCCGCAAGGCGACCGCGCGGGGCAACCGCGCAGGCAAATTCGGCTGCCGCGACTCCATCCGCGACAACCACGCGTACGTCCAGCACGGCAAGATGCTGGAATTGTAAGAAGGTCGGCCACCTCGCGCGGGAATGTGGCGAGGATCGTCACTTGTATTGCTTCCGATGCGGACAGGCCGACGTCACGCTAAAGACGTGCCCAAAATGTTCGGGAAACGGCACGGAGAGTCGCTAGAGCGGGTCGCCGCGACTCCCGCGATTTCGATAGAGACCCGCGCTGAATTCGAGGCTGCCGTGTCTGAATTTTTACAGGCGTCGTGTCAAGGGTCCGGAGCACCGTTGCGATATTTACGAATTTACATAGAGGAACACCCGCTGTTAGCTTTAGTCGACTCCGGATCGAGTAGAACGATATTTGGGGATGCCGGAATAGAGATAGTGCGAGGCCTACGGGTTTCGACTCGTCCTACAAACGGCTTCCGGATCCGCACGGCGAACGGACAGATAGCGGAGATCGCGGAGGAAGTCAGCCTGTCGATTACGTTAGAGGATTGTCAGCGCGAGGTTATCGTTTGCTTATTACCAAAATTAGCCGTTTCGTGTATTATAGGAGTAGATTTTCTGAGCGCGTTTGGCATCGGTCTCGATTTTGCGTCACCCAGCTGGTATTTTGCGAATCGCCCGGGGGAGCGTCGCGCGTTTGAGAATACGGACCTTAGCGAGGAATACGTCTGCAGCGGACTTTCCGAATTAACCCCTGACCAAGAGTCACAACTACAGGAATTCTTAGAGCGTAAATTACCGAAGACGATCGCGGATCCCGGTGTCACTTCTCTCACGGAACACCGCATAGATGTCGGTGGAAGCGCTCCGATAAAGCAGCGATGCTATTTAGTCTCTCCCAAAGTTCAGGAGGCAATTAGAGAAGAGGTAGATAAGATGTTAGCTGCCGGAATTATTGAGGCATCCTTTAGCGAGTGGTCAAACCCGATAGTCATGGTTAAGAAACCGAACGGAAAATATCGCTTTTGCTTAGACTTTCGAAGAGTAAACGGGGTATCTAAGAAGGACGCGTACCCGCTTCCGAACATGAATGGCATTCTGGATAAGCTAAGATCTGCGCGTTACATCTCTACGATAGATCTGAGCCAGGCGTATTTTCAAATACCCCTGGCAAAAGACAGTCGAGAGATTACCGCCTTTAGTGTCCCCGGTAAGGGCTTGTATCATTTTACTCGGATGCCGTATGGATTGACGGGCGCGCCCGCGACCTTTCAACGCCTTCTTGACAAGTTAATTGGTCCGGAAATGGAGCCTCACGCGTTCGCGTATTTAGATGATATAGTAATCGTGACTCCGACATTCGAGGAACATCTAGAATGGTTAGAACGAGTTCTGAATAAAATTTCGTCTGCGGGTCTTACAGTTAACCCCGATAAGTGCGAATTTTGCCGAGCGCAAGTAAGATATCTGGGATTCGTCGTGCGGCGGGACGGCCTAACTGTCGATCCCGAGAAGGCGCGGCCGATCCTGGATTATCCCGCGCCGCGTGATATTAAGCAATTACGTCGGTTCCTCGGCATGTCATCGTGGTATCGTAGATTTATTCCGCACTTTGCCACTGTCAGCGAACCGCTTACGAGATTACTAAAGAAAGATCAGCGCTGGGAATGGGCGGACGACCAGAACGTCGCTTTTGAAACGATTTGTGCGCGGTTGAGCTCTGCTCCAACCTTATCGTGTCCGGACTTTGGTATTCCTTTCGTGTTGCAAACGGATGCGAGCTCGGTGGGCTTGGGTGCCGTTTTATGTCAGATGAGCGATGGCGTTGAAAGAGTCGTCGCGTTTGCAAGCCGCGCGCTATCGGATGCCGAGAGAAAATATTCCGTGACAGAACAGGAATGTCTAGCAGTAGTATGGTCGATTCAAAAGTTTAGGCCGTATCTTGAGGGATATAAATTCACGGTCGTGACAGACCATAGTAGCCTGCGTTGGTTACATAATTTGAAGAACCCTACTGGCCGATTAGCGCGATGGGCTTTGGAGCTCCTTGAGTACGACTATGAGATAATACATCGGAAAGGAGCGTTACACCACGTGCCGGACGCACTTTCGCGAATGTTTGAGAGTGATGCCAAGATCCCATTAGAGGCTGCCGTTCCGTTGGCGGCGCTTGCGATCGAAAATTTAGAGGACACAGAGGATTCCTGGTACCTAAGACGTTTTCGCGAGGTTTCGGAGCGGCCGAAGGCTTGGGTGGGCTGGAAAGTCATGGACGGACGACTGTTTTTCTCGAGACCGAAACCCACTACCGCCGCGGTAGTGGAGGATTTAAATAATTGGAAATTAGTGTTACCGTAAGAATTACGGGAGGAAGCTTTACGCGAGTCGCACGATGACCCTCAATCTGGTCATTTAGGTATCGATAAAACTCACCGCCGGCTAACGGTTGCCTATTATTGGCCGAACATGTTTAGGGATGCCGCGAAGTACGTGGGGGAATGCGATACGTGCCAGCGAATGAAGGTAGAGCAGGCCCAGCCTGCCGGATTGATGGGACGTCGGGTGGTCGAAGCTCCGTGGACGGTGGTTGCCGCGGATATCATGGGACCGTTGCCGCGTAGTAAAGCCGGTTTCACATACGTCCTAGTGATCCAGGATTTATTTACAAAGTGGGTGGAATGTCGCGCCTTGAGAGCCGCGAATGGCAAGAACATTAAAGAGACTCTGGAAGACCTAGTTCTATCGCGATGGGGAACCCCGAAATTCCTCTTGACCGATAACGGGACGGA